ATAGGACCTATTTCGATTAAGATGATTGCAAAATCGAAATATGACCTATGCCCTCTAGAACGAACTGGAAAAATGCTATTCCAACTTCATTAAATTAAATATTGACACCAAGATTTTGCTTGGAAATATTGAGAAATGTAAGGAAAACTATCCAACGCTAGAAAATAGAAATTCGATAGATTTCTTGAAATTACTTAATTATTAATTATTTATTAATTATAATTAATTATTAATTAATTAATTATTATTTAATTATTCTGTAAAAATATGATCATCCCTCTTAGATGAAATAGCAACAGCGCTCTCTGAAAATCCATTGTACACTATTGAGGAGAACAAGTTCGTGAGGATACCAATCCAAGGTAAGAATCTGTGAATGAATTATGAATGAATTGTGAGTAATTTATGAATGAATTGTGAATAGTTTATGAATGAATTATAAATAAATTATGAATAGATTATGAATAAATTAATAAATTATGAATAATAATGTAAGTAGCTGGGACTGGGGAGGGCTTGAGGTTATGCCCCTTTCTCTAAAAGGTCATTTCTGTTAAGGTCAAGGTGAAATTCAACGAAATTGTTAAAAAAAGGGTTTTTTTTATGTTAAAGTTTGAAATATAAATTGTGCCCTGAGGCAGAAAAATACAGTCATAATTATTATAATAATGTTTCATAAATGGCCTAAATTCATCTCAGAATGTTGGGGGCAAAAATCTCTTCTTGGCTCAAAGTTCATTTAGAGTTATTGATATATCGCTAAAATATTGTTAACCCGTTAAAGTTATTGATAACAAATTGTCTTTACTTGATTGATAGCCACTTAAGTTAGAAAATCCATTGTACAATAAAGTTAGAGTAGTTGGTTTCATCCTGTTATTTTCTTAAATAATAACTCAACCACCCCACCCTGATTTAAATTGGAGGCCATGGCATCTAAACGTCTAAACCTGTAGATATCTCTGTGTTTTTTATATTTATTATATGAATAATTATTATATAATTATTATTTATCATAATTTTTATTTTCCTTCTAATTATTATTTATCAAGTTATTATTTATTATAATTTATATTTGTCATAATTTTATTCATTATAATTATTATTTGTCATAATTCTTACCTCCCTTATAATTACCGCCAGTTCAAAAAACCATTGTGAACAAGCTAAGAAGCTGCGATGAGTTTTCCGATAAGTAACAAAGAAAAAAAAAGAATGATCGACTGACGAAGAAAATGATGTAGAAATGAAAGAATAAAGATTATATTATTTATTAAGTAAAACATAATAAAATTAATACTAACAATATATATATATATATATATATATATATATTTTTATTTACATTTAATTTATTTATTATTTAACAATTATTTTTTAAAATAAATAATAGATCAAAAAGGTCTTTCTTTAATTTTTGATTAACTGACGTATTTAATAATATCAAATTAAACTTGGCTAAGTTAGATTATTCGATCATATTTCGGCAAATGTGAATGAATACGTCGGCAGACTGTCACAAATTTTTAAACCAACCATGTGTAAATCATGCCACAGTTGTTTGTCGACCACCTCCAGTTTTGATATTAGGTGTCGAGCAGTTGGTTTAGTAGAAAATCGCTCCTGATTCTGTAAAAAACTCAGACTAAAAGCAGCTTTTTTATTTTTTTTAAAAAGAAAAACAGAAATTCTCATAAAATTTTCACACAAATGAGAATTAAACGTGGAATTGTAACAATATCCAACCGACAAAAAGTTCTAGAAGTTTTACCATTGGTTGTTGTAAGGTCTGTTGTGGATGTAGCGTAATGAAGATCTATTTTTGATGAGTTCATGGTGTTTTATATTTCAAAGAAGAGGAATTTATCAAATTGTATGGGCAAGTTATGAACTGCAATAAATCACGTAAAAAAATCGAACATCCATAATAATTCATCAACCCAACTCACCAACTGTTTGAACAATCAAAACAAAACAAATCGTTGAGTTGTTAAATTTTATTCGTAAAATCTACACCATACATCAAAAGCGTCGGGATTTCCATTAAAAAATTAAAGATTCTCATGCTAAGGAGATAACATATACAACAGGAGTACAACATGAACCTAGTAAAATACCACCGATCTAATTGGTACCCCGAAAGTATTAGTAGAGGAGTTAGAAGTAGAATTATTAAGAACAACAGAAGAAAAACGATTACAGAGATAAGAAAAAAAACCAAGAATCAATAATATTAATTCACTATGTAAGCGCCACATTCCCAAAAAATCGAACTATAGTTCGTCTTACTCAATGATAACTAATAGGTCTATTCAAGATACTATATATCAGAAATGTCTTCGAAGTTAAGTAGTGAACGATTGGCGAAATTTCTAGCAAAAATAAAAACTTCAGTCATTCATTTGGCTGTTGTTGAAAATCTAACATGCCATTTATGCTGCTTCCAAGCCAATGCAGTCAAAACCTGCTGTTTCAGTTTGTCTGAATGCTAAAAATTGAGACATCAATGATTTCTGAATGTAAAATTTAGATCAAGAAAAATCTTTCTTGTAAGCATTTGGTATGAATTTGTCGGAAAAAGTGTTGTAATTCTTTAAATGTAGATCACATTAAAAGTTTTTTACAGATGAATAGTCTTAGTGTCAGCATGACAATTTTCATTTATAGCGGTAGTTAAAGACTGAATGGAAATATCTCAGTAACAACTTCATGTACAGTATTGATACACTCAGCTGAAGAGGCACATCTAGATGGGGGGGTGGCAAGATTTTCAAATTTTCAAAAAGGGGAATTTTTCAACCAAAAGACGATAACCAGGGCGGGGAATCTTCAAAAGATGATCTTCCAAAATTAGTTGACAGTCGGCGGTGATTTTCAACAAATTATTTTGAAAAATTTTTCAATGTTAGCAGGGGACCAACATTTTGATGGGGGAAGGCCAAATTTTTGATAATGTGGTCTAAATTTTTACTTACAATCATTTACAATCATTACAATCATTTTTCGGCTCATGTCAATTTTCCTTCAAAACACTACTGTTTCTGTTAAAATAAAAGCCTTCCCCGCCCCGCCTACTCTAAATTCAGCCCTAAAAATATGAAATTTATAACGTTTCAAAGTTGCAAAATGATGTAACTAAATCGTAAAACATATATTGATACATTTTTATAAAAACTAAAACTTAAACATTACGTCGACATGCGTTTATTTAAATCTTTAATTATTGCAATCAAATTTTAATTTAGTAATCGACATAGTAATGAACATGTAAATTTAAAAATAGATCATAGGACTCTTTGAATCTGCAATCTGGAATTTCTTATTTCTTAATATTTGGTCGCATTACATTTTAATTGACAAGCAGAGACTTTTTCGTTATCGCAAAAAATTACTCTAACCGAATTAAAATTAAATCAATTTAAAATTTATTCAAGGTTCTTAAATACATATAATATATTGGAGGAATGATTTGTAGTAAAGAAATAGGAATTTATTATTAAACTTTATTTATTTATTATTAATTTATCATTAAACTTTAATAATATATTATAATATAATATATTTTATTATTAAACTTTAAAAATATTTGAATTGATTAGCACTTGCAGATAACAAAATAGTTTATAAGCTGGTATTTTATTAGTGTACACATGTTCATATTTATGCTATTATGTGGTTTTATACAAATATAAAGCATTAACATACGTAAGGTGTGTGATATCCTAGGATATATATCCATCTTGATACCAGATATCATTTGTCTTATTCTATTTTTTAGTCAGAAATATCGCCAAACCGACAATTTCCATTTGGTAATTCCGCAGAGTTAAGCGTTTTATCAATCTATATTCTATAAATTTGTCTTTTTTATTTTATAAATAACGATATTAATTTTTATTTATTTATTTATTTATTATTTATATTATATCATTATTATTTATTCCGTGGAATTAGGCGTTCAATTCTTCTTTTTTATTCTATAAATAACGATATTAATTTTTATTTACAGTTATGAAGTATCAACTTTGTATATTACTAAGGTTTATAATGTAGTAGTTTAGTATAATACGGTATTATTGAAGGTGCCTATAGGCTAGGCAGTAAGACGGTCTCGGGGACGAGTTTCGGAACATTTTTATAATAAAGTCTTCGCCGACAACTGCAATATGCGGAATTTGGAATAGTTCCACGGTATGGTTTTGTATTTTTAAACTGTTTTTTTTACTGTATTAAATTTTTATTTCTGTTTTAAACAAAAATTACAATAAAATCATTAATATGTATATTCGTAAGTGAGGAATCTTAATTGCTAATTAAATTTTTAAAAAATCGCTAATTTTTTCAAATAACTCATTACGATAGCTCGCCTGAAACGTTTACCTTGCTCTAACTAAATCATACAATTAAAAAAACGTTTATGTTGCTATTTTGGAAACCTGACAAAGTCAAACTTCAACTTCTGGCAGTCAAATTTCGAACATAATTATCACAGAACACATGGCGAAACATGCGCGTAAGTCTTACGTGCAATTAAGAAATAATAAATCCCACATTCATGAAAGGCAAAATTAAAAAAAATTTTAAGGGGCCATGGTTTGACCTTTAGGGAGCCCTGGTATCTATGCCATTTAATAATAATTGTGGGATATGCACTGCGTTCGGTTTCGTCAGAAATGATGGTAATTCCTAGGACCAGGAAAAAACTGGATGACAGATGTTTGCAGGTTGCTCTGCCCAAGATATGGAATGATCTTCCAACAAGATTGAAGCAAAGTGTACCAGAGAAAGATTTCAGAAAATAGTTAAAAAGTTATTTGTTCAACAAAACATTTAATTACAGTACAATCCTCTAAGGAATGTCAATAGTGTGAATAACATAATTATAATTATAATTATTATAACAAAAATAATAATAGATATTAATTATTATTTTTTATTGGCTTAATTTGCTATTAATAATATTTTTATAGTTTAGGTAAATTTGTGCTACAAAACTCGACTACATTTTAAAAAGAACTTTTTTATTATACAAATATTATACAATTATATAGCAACATTATAAATCAGTTATATGAAACTGTTTGTTGAAATAATAAGACACAAAATAATAATAATAATATTATTATTATACATAAATATAATTAGCGTAATAATAAATATATATATATGAACAAATTCAGATGAAATCATGTCGCTAGCAATTGCTCTTAGCTCCACAAAATACTTTGTAGGTCCAAGTTTAATTTTTAGTCGTTTTTTAGGCTCGGAACTAGAAGTAGTGGTAGCAGCAATAGCTGCAGCACTAGTCGTAGACGCTGTAGTAGCAGCAACACTAGCAGCAGCAGTAGTTGTAGAAACAGTAGTAGTGGTAGTAGCAGTAGCAGCGGCAATAGTCGTAGAAACGGTAGCATCAACAGCAGTAGAAGTAATAATGTTTGTAGGAATAATAGTGTTTGTATAATTTTGTTCATCAGTAATAGAAGTAGTAGCGGTAGTGCCAGCAGCAGCAGTAGTCGTTGTAGTTGTAGAAGTAGTAAGCTTAGTATTAGAAGAAAATGTTTTTTCGTCAGCAGTAGTAACTGTGAAAGTTGGATTCAAATAAGTTGAAATACGTTCCTGTTTGTCATTTGTAGTTGTAACGCCAGCAATGGGTTTAGTAATCGTAGTAGTATCAGGACCCCTACGTTGGTCAGTTGCAGTGATTTTGCAGTAGTCCGCTGTTGCAACTTTCACGTAGAAGAGCAAGTACGCTTCTGCTTTTTTTACCGAATCCCAGTCAGTCAGCGAGACATTGGCGTCGTCTACGACGAGCCAGTTTTTATTATTCTCCAGGCAGCTGTGGTAGTTGTGGTAGCAGCCACCGTTGAGCGATCTTGGATCAAGTACGTAAGCGTAATAATGTCCAGATCCTACGGACCAACCTTGATGAACAACCACTCCATGCAGTCTGTATACGTTGCTGATTCTGTTTCTCTTCACGTTGTGTTCGGGTTGGTTTTCAGTGCTCAAATCCGAGCTGATGTAGGAGGATATATCTAAATATTCTTCGAACTGAACGTGGCGTGATATTTTATAGTCGCCACTGTTTGACAGTCCGTACCTTTTCAGCTGTAGTATCAAGACGTTCAGCTGCTGTTGAATTGAGAAATGTTTAGTGGCGCACTGTTTTGACTTGCATTTCTCACACGAGTACCATTTCTCGTTGTCCATATCTACGAAGGCGAAAAATTTTTTCAGCGCTTCTTTCACTGATGTGATATGATCCGCCTCAAGACTGATGTTGAAGAATGGCTCGTAACTGTTTGACGCATGTCTGCATTGCTGGCATATGACTGCGTGGTTGGTAACAAGTTGAAACGTTAGTAACTCGTTGTAATTATATTGTATTATTTGATAAAAATATGAACAACTTTCAAGTTGAACACATGAACATTAGCTAAAAATGAGATATGAAAGGTTTGCTTACTTTGGCTTCTTAGATAGCCGTTGAATATTTTTGACAAAGCAGTTGTTCTTTCTACAAACTGGTCCACTTCCAAACCGTGCGTGAGATGAGCTTGCATCGTGTTTAGTAGGCAGAGTAGAAAATCATGGGCATCTTCTTGCCTCCCGACTTGCATGTGATTCCCAATTTGTCTGATGTTGCCGACGACTTCTTCCGGGGATATCGGTCCGTTTACCAACCTATTGAAAAGTCTCAATGCTAGATTTCTTAGCATGCACACCGAGCAAAATTTGTTCATCATCTTACAGTCTTTTATATGATTGAAGATGAGATAATTCATAAAAGTCGGTATCCGAAGCAAACATTGCAGTACGGCTGCTATAAAGCACGTGTTGCCCATATTTTTTAATCCTGTCCCACCGCTTATAATTTTCCATTTTCCATCTAGTTTCATCTTATAAAGTTCTTTAGAAGGCAGTGGCAACGAATCACCGGGTATTGTCTCAACAAATAAAGATTTGACATCAGTAGACGTTGTTGCTGATGTCACAGATTCATGATTCACGTTGTAAGTTTGTTTGTCTGTCTGTTGATAATCTGGATAGTGTCGGCCCGCCGTCATCACAATGATCGTCGGTTTTTTGACTGCTCGATTCGTGTTTCTGTGAACATTTTTTAAAAAGCGAGCAAATTTTCTTATTAAAAACTTTAATTTTTGTTTCCTGCGACGAATCGTCAATTTATTTTCTTCTGTGGTTTTGTCGAGGTCGTCCACTTTTTCTTCTTTGCCCAGTCTCTTCAATTGACAATTAATAAAAAAAGTTTGATTAAACGCAAATTCAAAATAAAATTTTTGTAAATTGATTAAAAATTTAATTTGTCTATACAACATTCATATGTTTAAGCTGTTTATTTCTTAATAAAAACTAAATATTTGTAACGTAAAATATTTTTGCGTAGCATTCTTGTACCTGCCTTATTTCACATGGTTTATTTTAAGAGATACATTTCCAACAAGTTCTCTCGAAACAATTGGTTCTTTGTTGTTAAATAGCAGCATCGCTGATCTTTGCAACATAAACTAAACACCCAGCAAAATTTGTAACTCAGTATCTTACAATCGGTTATGTGTGAAAAATTTATAAATGTTGGCACTCAGGCTAGGCATGGCCGAGTCGCTGCTATGCCAGTTTTTTAGGCCTACACCGATCTTGGTCATTTTCCATTTTTTATCCAGGTGATTATTGTAAAGTTCTCTAGCAGGATCATGTAAATTTAATCAGCTTACATTAAATTCAAATGTTTAAGTTTTTTATATCTTTAAAAAAAACTAAATATTTTTAACGTAAAATATTTGTACATCATAAACAATTTAATTTGTACGAAAATCAATAAGAACAAGATTATAAACAATGTTTGCCACCTCCGTCTCATTTCCATCAGTTTTTCCTTTACTCTCGTCCATTTCGTTCATGTCTGAATTGAAGTTTCGTTAGTAATTTAGCGTGAAAATTCAGTTGATTTTATAAGGCAGCGAGCGATGTACACTTTGGCACCAAGTATAAACGTCGGTAGAGTGCAAAGAAACATTCTTTGTATGCTAATTCATACAAAGAACGTGGCGACTCCGAATTTCAACCATTGATTTACGAATAGTTAATTTGAATGAAAACTACTAAAAAAATATAGTCGACATAAAAATTGCAGTTAAAAACTTTTTAACACGTATTTTTATAATACCACATCTCTATTTTTTAACCACATGACGCAAATTTTGGCTTGTTGTCTGTTTAGCTGATTGGCTGCCTAGCCGATTACTAGTCAAAGGTCTTCTCATGTGACCTACGCTGTTGAACTTAGCTGCGTTGGTGCGTCCAGCTGCTTAACAATTTTTGTACTTTGAAACAAGTTTTCTTGAATTTCTTTAATATGGCGATGACCAATAAAAAAAAACACAATTACTAAGATTTAATACATATGACCATATTTTTCTATTAAACACATGCTACCGGTTGACCACATTCTTTGAATGCATGCACTTTTGGTCTTCATGTAGGTTTGGCACGTATGACTTGAAAAAAATAAATCTGAGATATATGTAAATGAATGTAAATCAAGTTTGAATTTTATTTGATTGTTATTTTTGTGATATTGCATATTTTATGTCGTTAGTTATAAAAAAGTATTTTAACTTCATTAAAAATAAAATTGAGCCCTTTACAATTAATTTTTATGAAAAATCATTAAAGAAAGAACAGTGTTGCGATTTGAAATTAGAAGAGATACGTTAAGAGTTAGACTTGCAATGTCTTAGAACCTATAAACTTCACCTAGCAACAACACAAATTCAACATCAGCCCAGTGAGTGCAAGTAAGCGTGTGTTTGCACCTACTAGAGACATCCAAATCAATATTTTCTTGAACACTAACGATATTTTAATGGAAATGTATTCAACGCTTGTTTATACAAATAAATACAGCTAATGACTAATGGATTTTATCTGATTGTTAGAGATATTGTTAAAAATATTTGCATAAAATTTATTCATCTTTGTTGAGGAAAGCTTTTATCAAACAACAAAAAGAACGCTTGAATGAATATTTGGCTTCACGAAACAATTTACAAAATGTTTCTTTTAACTATTTTAATGTTTCTAACTATTCAAACGAGTGAGTTGTTACACGTTTGTGTTAAAATTTTTGAAAAAGTCAAATAAGAATAATATTTGGAAATTTTTTTAGTAATTATTGAATCATTTTTACGAAGGCAATCCTTTGAGAAACGTCCTTCTTTTGAAGCCGGCAACTCAGAGCTCATATTATGAAATTAACAATGTGAAGTACAACGAGTTGTTGGCTGCTGATGGAGACAGGACTTCGAATATCACTGCTGTTCATTGCTTCCACGTAGGCTTTGAAGCACTTTCCGATTACTGGGTCGTTTACATGATCATTCAGTACAAAATCGACTGTTATTCTTTGGACAAGAAACTTACTTAGTAATTAAATTGAGTTTTTTTAATAAGTTTCACGGATTTTTTCAGCTATGAAAACGTCATGTCATATTCAATCAACTTGAATGTCAGGTTTTCGCGTGGACAACTTTATCTACTACGTCAACTACTTCAATCTTTTCATCGTGTCAACTGCAGTTCTCATGTACCACCTTCTAGATACGTCATCGCTCAACAAGCTCTTGAGAAAGCATTTGGCTTTTGTGTTTGTGAACTTGAAGCTTTCCCACTAGAAGGCATTGAACGAGTTACATTTATTTTTATTCAAGTGTTTGATTATTTTACATTTAGAATTTATTATTGTACAATAATTACATTTTAAAAATTTAAATTTGATTGAAATATTTTTATCAGAAAAAGTGTGGAAGCGCGTTGAAGGACGATTCTGATGGATCTGGTTCTGTCTGCAGCGAGTGTAAGTTCTTTGCATCCTTCAGTTTGATGGTTGCTTGTCGGTAAATTTTGGCAAAAATCCGAAAATGTTATGCGTCACTCTTTGCCCTAGATGTAGCGTCATAGAAGCAGTCTGGAGTTTCTGCGGTCGCATCATTTCTATTGGAAACAAACTGAATTCCAAAATTTACATTATAATCTTCGTATGATTGGAAAATCATCTTGCGGCCTACATTTTTATCATTTGACATATTTTGATAAAAAGCCAGACTTTTGATGGCTGATATTCTTGGCATGGTTTTGTAGAAAGCAAGACATTCAGTGTGAGTTGCTGTGTTGAAGGTAGGTCTGCAACATAGAGTTGTCGGGTATCTACTGTTGGCAAACATTATGTAATTTGGATTGATCCTATCGTAAATCATGTATACAGGATGTATACGTTCTACAAGTTGTTTGTAATTTTCTCACACTTTGAAGCATTTTAAATTTAAAATGACAAAGATTTATAATTGTTATTTTAAAATTCATTAATTTTTATTACTCTAAAAATAAAAATAAACATAAAAAAATAGTTTGTCACCATCAATTGATGTAAATAAAATATTTTCTTTTACTTTCAATCACTCGTAACTGAGTGTCTTACCTTAATTCTTGAGGCTTTTTTGGCCAAACATTCATTGAAAAGTGGAGAATGTTATATTGGAAATTTTGACAATATTAGTTCAACGACAATTAATTTGTCAGAAAATCGTCGGTCTTTGAGTGTATTTTACATTATTATTATTGATAGTATGTTCTTATAAGCTGACTGATATTTCTTTTTTAGAATATGATAGATTTTATTGCAATATATATATATGACTTTGAATACTATTATACATCTTTTTCAATGTTATCATTTATATTTTAATCAATTTCCAGACGTATCAACATCATTTGCGCCAGAATGCCCGCACCACTCACACAGTACATGTAACAAACCAGGATCTCTTTGCGTTTGATCCCGGCCACCGTAACATCAAGACCAAACGTCTTAACCATTATACCGTCTCGTCACTCGTTATTTTATTTGTATTTAAAATGTAACAGCCCAAAATTTGAACTCCTTCTCGTTTAAATTCACAATTGGCAACAAAGAGACCAAACCTAATTTTGAAGTTACATTTGAGGACAGTAAGGAATTAGATCCAGGGAGGTTTTTATTGGTTCCTTTTTTTTATAAAAAAATTTTCTCTACTATTTTTCGGAATACGCATTGAATGTAATATGTGGGGTTCTCTCTACATTGGATTCAAACCCGGACACTGTAACTGCAACTGCAACCAGGCACCTTAACCATTAGGCTATTTTGCCACCCTGGCTAATTTTGTATTAAATAATATAAAAAAGTATATATTAATTAATTAATCTAAAAGTTTTGAAAACACTTAATTTTTTATAAAGTTTCTTACACAAATAACCGAATTTGATTGCATGGTTCAATGATAAGCAGCTGAACTTGATGGGTTTGGTCAGTAAAGTTGCACAGTGATTAATTTTTTAATTTTTTTAATGACATTAAGCTGTTTTAATAGGTTTTAATGATGATAATTTGGTTTAAATATTATTTTCATTCATTCATTCATTTATTCGTTCGTTCGTTTGTTCATTCATTCATTCATTCACTCACTCCCTCATTCATTCATTCATTCATTCATTCTTTCTTTTATTATTCATTCGTTCATTCATTCACTCACTCACTCACTCACCCACTCACTCATTCACTCATTCATTCATTATTCACTCATTCATTTAATAATTCAATCATTCGTTCGTAATGATTGAGAAGTATTTATTTTAGGTCTCTGGAAATCATTATTACCAACAAAGGCGATAATAAAAAATTAATAAACATGATGATACAGTATCAATTCGGACGTGAGATACAGTATTATGATAATTCTGAATTACTGAATACTATTATTGTCGTTATTTGAAAGTTTTTAACGTGCATTTTTCTAGTTTTAAAGTTCTCAAATAGTGATTAAAAATTATTCGCTATTACATATTATATTCTTTCTCACAATATTCACAGCACTGCATTTTCTATGCCCAACCAGATTTTACAAGCAAAGATAACTCAGTTTCACACACTATATAACCAGATGCCTTTATCACCGGTAACCAAAGTTTTAGCAGTTGCAAAGTTTAGCAGTTGTAAAATTTTGCAAAATTTATTTTATTTTACAACACAAAAATATGGCTGGTAAAGTTTTGACCGAAGTTCCTGAAATGCTGACTCATCCAATGAATGAAAAAGAAGAAGATGATCACAGAGAAGATGATCAGGCAGAAGATGATGTAGCTGCTGATGCTGATGACTACCTCGCGATTATTTACGAAGTTGTGGATGGTGACCATGGAGAAGAAATTGGCCGCGTCCATGCTGACTATGGGGTTGATGAGGGTTTTTTAGATCACCTGGGGTTACTAGCTCCTTTCGACGATGATGATGACGATTCTAATGACGACGATGACGATGGTGATGACTTTTTCGGTATCGCTGGTGACAGAGATGAAGGCGTGGATTTTAGATACGACGGCGATGATGATGATGATGACGAAGATGATGGCGAATTCTATGGCGATTATTATTATGAAGACTTTTTTGAATTCGATTTTGACGAATCTATCAATAATTTTGAAGAGGATAGCGAGGATTCTAATGACATTGATTATTATTTAAATTATTATCGCGACGATGACGATATTTTTGATGACGTCGATGATTATGATTATTGATGATTATGATTATTGATGATGACGTCAGTGATTATGATTATTGATGATTATGATTATTGATGATGACGTCAGTGATTATGATTATTGATGATTATGATTATTGATGATGACGTCAGTGATTATGATTATTGATGATTATGATTATTGATGATGACGTCAGTGATTATGATTATTGATGGTTATGATTATTGATGATGACGTCAGTGATTATGATCATTGATGATTATGATTATTGATGATGACGTCAGTGATTATGATTATTGATGATTATGATTATTGATGATGACGTCAGTGATTATGATTATTGATGATTATGATTATTGATGATGACGTCAGTGATTATGATCATTGATGATTATGATTATTGATGGTGACGTCAATGATTATGATTATTGGTGATTAGCCCTTGTGAAATTGATATTTCGATTTGTCTTTTTGCATTCATAATAAAATGTACAGTACAATCTTCATAATCGTCTGGTTGGTTACTTTGAGTTTTACCATTTTGTTGTAGTTTTATTTATTTATTTAGTTTTTTATTTATTACAAATCTCTCCTCAATATTTTCAGAGGCATTCAAAACAAACACACCGGGCAAGTGAATTAGCCTGAAATAGGGTATCAAACACATCGCGTGTTTTAGATGGGGATCTCTATGTAATCGAATCTGGTAAACTGTAGTAGCAGTGCCAGGCACTTTACCGTTACAACCACAATACTAAATTTTTCGCTATGTCGTTCATATGAAAAAACTTTTAATATGAAACAAACAAAAGAAACAAAACAAAAAAAAAACAAAAATTATAATTGTTTTGTATCTTTTTTGATACATTTTAGAGACGATAAAACTGCCCAAAATTTTGAAGATAGTGAGACAGTCTTGTTATTTTCGCTGGCCTATCATCGCGTTGTTTGATTCGAGGCTGAATTCCGTCAATCAATCAATCAATCAATCAATCAATCAATCAATCAATCAATCAATCAATCAATCAATCAATCAATCAATCAATCAATCAATCAATCAATCAATCAATCAATCAATCAATCAATCAATCAATCAATCAATCAATCAATCAATCAATCAATCAATCAATCAATCAATCAATCAATCAATCAATCAATCAATCAATCAATCAATCAATCAATCAGTCAATCAATCAATCAATCAATCAACCAATCACATCGTTTAAAAATTATTACGAGACGTAGATGTTTATTAATTGTTTGACTTGTTATGTATTTAAATACTTTTTCTTGAGGCTGGAGTTTAAGTATTGTAACGGTGGCTGCTTGATGGTACTGCAGTTATGACAGTATGTAACTCTGGAGTTGTCGATAAAATTGAAGCGATAGCATCTGAGTGTAAAATTACGTGCTGTTGTATTCATCGAGAAAGCCTAGCTACTAACAAAATGTCAGCCAAAATAAGCAGCCTGCTTAGCTAGGTTGTGATTGTTAATAACGTGAAGGCAAACGCATTAAATGTAAGATAATTTACTAAATTTCGTGACGAATTGGTAGCCAATCACAAACAGTTAATCTAACATATTGAAGTACGTTGGCTGTCCAGAGGAAAGGTCTTATCAGAGGTAGGTACTAGAATTAAAAATGAGTTAACTAAGTTTAGAAAACATGCCGGTCAGAATTGTTTCTAAACGTTTATTGGCTCGCAAAACTAGTCTATCGGCAGATTTGCCTTATTAAGCGAAATCAACATTTCTATGCATGAAAAGATGCAGCCATTGGTTTTAAAATGGCTGATAAAATAGATGGGCAAAATTGAAAGCTAACAAATGTTGATGAATCGGTTCTAAGTTCAAGATACTCGTTTCAAATTAATACTTGTTTGCTAATAATTTTTAAATTAATTCATGTAAAATAGTAAAAACATTTTCAACGATATAGTTGAAATGTAATCGTTTGAGCCAAAATTTTTTTAGTAGCGACATTTCTGAACTGAATGTCATTTCATAAAAATGTTATTTTAAATATTTTAATTTTTTAATTTAAGTAACGAAAACTTAGTGTATTTCGTTTTAATTCTGCTGAATCATTAAGACACAGTAACAGTTGTAACAGTAGTAGATTTTAACTTTTTAAATTTTCATCAACACGTCATGCGCAGTCGTTATTTTAGTCAGCATATTCGGTCGCTAGAGTTTTTACAATTTTGCAAACATTTAATAAATAAATAAATGTTTTTTAATAATTATATTTTCAATGAATTTTCTAAACCATTTTTTATTTAACGAATTATTTAAATCATTATATATACACATATAGATGAAAGGACACCACAAACTTTAGAAATATATTATATGAAAAGGAATCATTTCGAGGTGTCAACACTAAAAATTGATTTTTTGTCGATCTTACAGTTTCTTTCAATTTCGTAGCGACGAGAGTGGCGAAAGATAAAAATACAACGTTTGTCAAGCTCTTGAGAGAGTTGGAACGCCGGTGCGAAAAAGTCTTGTAAAGGCCACCGGTTTTGATGATATTATTAATACAAACGCATGCTATTTAATGTCGGTTAGGCCTATATGGTCCAGGGCTTGATTGGCATGTGTAGGTGGAGTCCCGCGGCTTCGGAAAAAGGAAAATTGTTGAATGGGGCACTCAAAAAAAATTAAAAGCCTTTACAATTGTTATTGATCCAAACCTATGAGTTTTTAAACGAAATTTATGTTAAATTTACGTTATTATCATTTATGTGAAGACCCCTGTTTTGGGGAACGGTTTTGGGAACGAACCGTTTTTTGGAGGCCTACAGTCAAAAGTTTCATAGAACCGAGATAGGAGTTAATCGTAAGTTTTTCACCATTTGAAACAATTTTCGATACATAAAATACCTCGACCAATGGCTTTAGAGATCAAATGTTATTATTGTATATTAACGAGAGAACAAGTTTTAGAAAACATCACAAGCTATAAATTTCAGAATTGTGAATTTTCTGAGTATGGTGTATTTCGGTGATGGTATCTTATTTCTAAATTTTGGAACCACTTTCGGTGAAAGTGCGAAAAAACATAATGAAAGCATTAACATTAATTGTAATTTTGTATAATTGTTTTTGATAGTATCGCTAATTAAAGATACTATTTTTTTATCTTTCAGTAATTATATTATATTATAACAAGATAACAAGGCATTCCCTTCTTCCATGTTATAGGAGGGATTCATCCCCATACCGCCTGGATCCGCCACTGCCTATCTATACACACACAGCTTACACTGCTTGTTACTATTAAGGTTTTAAAGTTTTATTCAGAAAATTTTTATTCTCTCACTAGAAGTTATTATAAAAGAATACAAAAAATTATTTATATATATTTCAATTCTGTAAAATAGGAGTGTGTGTCGAAAAATTATCTAGTTTAAATAAACGACATGTATCGCACTTTAATGGTTGGAGTAATGTTATCAAGTTTGAGTCAAATTTTCGAATGTAATCACATTTTTGCACAAGGTAGATGTATCAACAACAACAAAATATGCGTTCATCACTCAAACAAGTTCTATTTCAAAATATCAAAAACAAAAAAATAAAACGAATAAAGAATTAATGCTATTGAACGTCTTTTGAAACGTTAACTTTAAAATTTAAAATATTACAAAAACTGGTGCAGGCTGATGAAGTTTTCAGAGACAGGTAAACGGGCTTGGCTGATGAGATCTCCAATCCATCGATACTTCTTCCATGTTTCCTCCATGTCCTTCTTCAATTCACTCAACATCAAATTCACCGATGCAAGTTCTGACGTGTATTCTTCCTGGGAATGTTTGCTTCCTGCATACAGGACAGCCTTGCGGTTTCTGTATATTTCAACAGCCATTTCCATAATGACGGACACTTGACAATATTTTTGGAAGATTTGCGGCTGGTATGTTCTCAGCTGGATCGATTCAAAGGCACGCAGAGGTAAGAAGAAGGAAGAGGGCAGTGGTGCTACAGGAGTGTGGTTGATGAGGGGACAGAAGAGAGACTGGGGAGGAGCAAGCAGTATCATTTTAACTTGGTCGTTGAGAGGTATGATGGATCTATGTAGACGGTTGGAAAGAGCGACTCCATTATCAAATGTGCCTCTGTTTGTCTGCTGTGTTGCCGATGATGGAGATGATGCTGGTGATGTTTCTGGGGTAATTGGTAGCTGTGCGAATGTTACATCATCGAACTGACGCATGGTAGAAAACATTGTGCTTTTAAAATTATCGTCGATAGCTTCAAAATTTCTACTTTTCAGTTCATTCAAGATGTTTGCACAATTGTTCGTCGTCGATGTTCCACTGCTACTGTTGTGGTCATCGTTCATTCTGATGGATGGAAAGTTGTTGGGGGTATCTTTGGAGACGAGAACCTGCAATCCGTGTTGCAAGTGACAAGTCATGTAGAGATAGCTTATGTACACTCCATCCTTCAGTTGTTCGTTCAAATTTTTGAACTCCGTTAAAAGTTCCTTGCAGTTGCTGGTTAGATCGTTCAACACTCCATTAGTTTTCAGTTGTTTGTTTGACACTGGTGATGAAGATAACTTGTCTAATGACATCCATTTCAGTGTCGATAAAAATGATGATGAAACTGGTGATGAAGTAAGAGATGGTGTGGAAGATTTTGATTCAGCGTTGATGTCGTTGTTGATGAACATAAAGACGCTGTAATTTGTTCCTTTCACGATGTTGGTGTGCAGATGACCCAACTTCTCAATTCCAGTTATCTTTTGCAAAACGTTGACAGCTCTCAAAATGGCGTATTTTTCGTGAAAGATGTTTGGTTCTAATTTCTTGCAGCTTGTTAATTCGCTCTTCATCACTTGTTTCAAATTTCTCATCAGGGACCAATCACTTGTAACTTTCATCAGCCAATAGAAATGGGACTCCAAGTCAGACACGTTGTCCAAATCAACCCTCACAGTTGGAAGCATATTGTGTGAGGTCACTAACACTTTTCCAGCTGATTGGAGCATGCAAGAGACGTAGAAACCATTTTTAACGTTGGTGAGTTGTTTGGAAAGTAGAAGACGTTTCACAAAACTTGGTTGCTTCATGTTGTTGTTTTTAGTGAGGCCCATGGAGGCTTCCAATACATTGTCGTAGAGGTTGTCCGTGTTCAATGTTCTCATCAATGGAATGCAATGTCTGCCAAATTTCTGCAAACAATTGCCAGCTAAATTTTTTCTCATCATGTCCAGCCTTGCCAAAATTTCTCCAGTTTGCAGTTTTCCAGTGTTCTCGATTGGATTCTTGAGACTACAATTTTTGTTGTCTTTGTCGTTTGGCATCATACTTGTAACATTCATTTTGCTGTCATTATCTGTCTCACTAGCACTTGCCAGAAGTTGTCGAAATGAAATGACGCTGCTACATCTCCTGATGAATTTTGATTGGCTAGAACAGAGACTGATCCCTTTGTGGTCTCTGCTGTCGTCCAAGGTGTTGTCGCAGATGGAGGACCGATTTCTTGCATCAGCATCATTAATCGAGGTGATGGATTTCAGTATAACCTTCCCACGTTCTTCATTGTCGGTGTAGCAGCAGTTGGAATGAGGTGAGGGATGTCGATGGCGACGATGACTGTGGAGCTGATGCTGACTTTGAAATGAATATTGCGACGCGTTGTAACAACTTTTGTTATCGATATAATTATCACTGTCACCACTGATTGTGAACGGTACTCCTGATAAGTCCTTGCCAGATAGTTTCCTCTTTTTAAAACTTTTATATGCACTTGACTGCTGCTGCCTCTCATGCAAACCGATGTTTTTACGATAATTCATCCGACTGTTGCGAGTCATATTAGCACTGCAAATATCTTGTCTATAGGCAATGTTGCTAAATGTTGAAACGTGTTTGTTGGATCTGGTGAACTCTTGCAAACTTTGATGAGGTTGGTTGTCTCGGTGCATTGGTGAGTCTTGCTGCAACAACGCACGTTCACGTAAGCGCTGTCTGGAGTGACTTCCTTTGCTCAAGTTCACTTCGCTGTAGTGTTCAAAATTCATTTTTAGCCAGATGTGTTGTGAACACTTTTTAAAACTTCTATAATTTTTTATGTAGATAAGTATGCTGGAATTGCTGTAAATGTTGCTTCTAAATGTCGATGATTGAAAAATGTTGGATCAGGATTTTTTAAAGTTGAATATTCGTTTGGTAGGATATGATAAAGACTGAAAATTGAATGATGAATTGTAGATGAGAGACTCTCTTATATACCCTAGTTGAGAGCTAATAATTGAACGCACATATCAGACTAAGTGTCAGCGTGAATACCTTACAGATCAGCTTTATTACCCCTAATTGAAAGTACTTGCCAAAAAAGGGAATACCTCACTGATTGGAGGATCGTTTTCACTGTCAACATCCCGGCTGCTAATTGAACCCACACGTCAAACCAATAAAAACTGAATACCTCACTTTACAACCCAGCATCCTTTCTTACTTACGATTTTGATTTTTTTGATGCGTTAAACTTTAAATAGTTATCAAATACTTAATACTTGGATAACAAAAATATTTTGTAATAATATTGTTGAGTCCATTCATCCGACTGTTGCGAGTCAAATTAGCACTGCAAATATCTTGTCTATAGGACGTTGATCATGGAGCGATTGTTCCATGGAATAGGTTATATCCAATAAACTTTTTGTAATAAAACTTGTCAAACAATTTGTTGCTCGTAATTATCTCATTAGCTACTGTTAATTGTAGAATTACTAACACCCTAATTGCTCAATTGAAATGATTTCCCTGCAGTATTGTATCAATTAGTCCAATTAGTGCAGACTCGAGCCGCCTCATGTCACTCGCCTATTTCCAATTGACGTGTTCGTTTCAACAATCAGGATTGGTTTGTTATGATAATAATTATTAATTGTTTCAAACTTTCACATTGCCAATTAAGAATATTAATTTGATTAAATATAACGAAAAAAATTGAAAGACCAATTAATACAAAAACTTTAGACAAAGTTGAAATTGTTGGAGAAATGTAATTGATGTAATTAATGTCAATATTCAACACCGAAACCAATTACAAAACAACAATTTAGTGTCAGCATCATAGTTAATGTAGGAGTGGCAATAAAAACATCAGCAACATAAAATTTAAAAGTTTAGCGAGCAAGACATATGCTCACATTATTTTAATGATTACAACGGGCAGTCATATGATTACAGTACAATATCAGGATTATTTTATGTTCAATTTTGGTTTCAATATTTTGGCTAGGCATATTTTTGATAATGAAATAATATAAAGTTTGAAGAACACTATTACGAAAAATAACAACGCTGTTGCTAAGTGTGTTGCAATAACTACAAGGTGTGTCGTAAAAATTTCAATAAAACCTTAATAGAATTATTTTATCATTTGAATACTTGAGATCATAAATAAATTGTTATAAATATTTTAATTGCAAAACTTTTTAGAATTCCACAAATGAATACCTCAAATCACATAACCAAATAAAATTTAATTATAAATAAATAGAGCCGTCATTTGAATTGCTGTCAAAAAATGATAATCAGACAATGCAAGCATTACAAACTTTATAAAGAAAATAATACTACCACTGTTAGGTATTCTTCGATTTAAAACGTAAGCTTTTTATCGTAAAGTCTTAGATGAATGAATTTTTAGTATTCCTTTGGTTTCATTTGATCAAAAAAGTTTTGATGACGATCGCAAAATCCGCACTTCGCCTAACATGACAGAAATATTAAATTCTGAAATTCTTTTTCTGTGATTATTTGAAATGTTCAAAAATTTGAAAAAATGCTCATTCTAAGTGGCGTGTTGTTTCACACCTGGATTTGCATTATGAAGACTCTATTTACCATGTAAAAATTTATTTTTAAATTTTATTTAAAACATTTGTTACAATGAAAATAAACAGAAATTAATGCATTAAAAACGTTAATGCATTAAAATTTATGCTGGATGAAGGTTATGTTAACCAATGTTAACTACCTTGATAGCAAATTTTTCAAAGAGTAAAAACGTTGTTAGCCTAAAAATGACAGAAAATTTCAGTCAATATGAAGTACAACTAATGCGTGGAGTCGCCTGACATACAAAGAAGTTGACAAACGCGACAATATTTACCAATATTTTTATAAACGAAAACCTTATCCCAAAATAAAAGGGAAAGCAATTTGAAAAATACTTGCGTCATAATTTATGAGGGTTATTGATCTTTCATGAAATGTTACTCGAAAAGCTCAAGTCAATTCAATATATTATTTTGTATTATTGAAGTATGTCTTTTTTTGCCAAAAACTTTTATAAATAAGGCTTCGAGTATGAACAGAATTAAAAATAGCGATGAAGAGCCCACAAGAAAGTAAACCAAACACATTTGGCCATAATGAGACGTCAGCATTCCTACTATGAGGGGACCAGTTATCCACCCAACCGACCCACCACATACAATCACTGAACTAACTTTGCCAGTTACTAACAAGTTCTCTGACACCCAAATAATATTAGTCGGATAAATAATTCCAGTTCCGAAACCGGCCAACATAACCACAACCCAGAGAATACTCGGTAGAGCGTTGACGGCTAACATTAGCAAGAAGGCTGTTGTAGCTACGGTCATTGTAATTGATAATATTGTTATTGGTTTCAAGAAAGCTGAGACTACAACGCCCAATAACCGACACGCAAAGTGAGCTCCAAAGTAAATTGAAAGAATGAGACTTGATTGGTAAACAGACCAATGCAGATGCTTCAAGGCAAATGCTGTTATGAACGCGATTGTTACACCTTCGATGTAATAGCACAACAGTCCGAAGACAAAAACGAATGTGAGCAAAATAAGTTTCAGATGCAAAATTTGTTCAATTCTATTTGTTTGTACATCCGGTTTTCCTAAAAAAATTTTTTCTTCCGTTACATCTTCTATTACCACGTCATTCTTTTTCTGTCGAACAAGAGACAATTTTTTATGTTTTGAAATATTGAATAGTAAAATTATCAAAAAAGGTATATTTGCGGAGAGAACTATAAGGCCAACAACTATGAAAGCTTTTCGAACAGTTGCAAGTTCAATAACATCCAGGCACGTTGTCGATATGTTTCCCAAAATTTTATCCTGCTCAAAAACAATTTCACTTTCGTTTAATGTTTTATTAAAATTCTCATAAGAATGGTTGACTTCACAGAGGAATGGCTTGATTATGAACGGCCCAACGATACCTCCAAAAGACCAGCAAAGATGAATGGCTTGAATTAATGAATTTCTGCATTGGTGTTTGTTCCATATTCTAAGCCCGTAAGATTGTCCAGCTGAAAAGTTATCAATTTAGCTTAAAAAATTTTCATCCACTGCTCTCTTAAAATTTTTTAAACATTAACCTGAGTCATTGAATCCAAATCCGATTCCTTTAATGACGACGAAAGTGACGAAAAATGGGAAGGACGAGATGAGACCAGCCCCAATGGTGGCCACACACGCGACACTGTTGAACGCAAAGAACAAGAATTCAGGTTTCAGGCGGTCGTACATGGAAGCACACAGTATCGACCCGATTAAGTAGCCGAGAGCGAAAAATGTAATTACGGTTGACATCGTTTGTTCTCCAACGTTCATCAACTTCTCCAGGTGGACGAGACTCGTTCCCAAAATTGTATTTGCAATGCCCTACAAATCTCAAATAAATTCAATGTAGAATAAATTTGCTTATTTCATGCATAACTTTTTTACCATTACGATGAATATCCAATATAGAGAGAATGATTTCAACCAGAGAACTTGCGGACAGATGCAATCTATTTTAAAATGAAAGGCAACACATCAAATTTATTTTTATTTTATTTACTTTATTTCAAATTTACTTTTTATTCCGTGTTTCCCTTTCTCTTCGACACATTTCTTCGATTCCATAACGAATAAAATTAACAATCGAAAATTTTTTTGAACCTTTACAACGAAAAATTGGCTCTGCTCAGTCAAATGCAGTTTCAAAATCTACCAAACATAAAAATATTCAAATACGACCAGAAGTGGTTTCTCATGGGTTTGTCTACCAGCACTTTTTCCCAAACTCTTAAAATACTATTTTCTAGATTCTAGCATGAAATAAACACATACGTGTGCATCGCTAGGGCTACCTATAAGAATATAACACTGTTTATTATGGTATTATAGTTTGGTACTATATATAGTATTATAGTTTGGTACTGTTCAAATTGAAGTTATTGTATTGTTGTTATTCAACTTAGGACGTGCAGTAGTCTCGTAAAAGTTTGTATGGTGCATACGCCGTGCAATACTGAAACAACATTAAAATTCTATGTAAAATTCACAATCGCAGAGATGGTCATAGACAAAATAAAGTTAACCAATTGAGCAACTTTTAGACATTTTCAATGTTATCTTTTGAAAAATGTTATGACCAAAATATTGGCAAGAACACAGAGAGAATCATAAACTGAAGTTCTAAATAATGTCTCCGGCTGAGGTTTAAACAGTAAATTTTATTCATGATGCAAACTGCTTCACAAATGTTGCATATATGTATAATAAGTGACTGTCAACAACACTAGCCAATTGTTAAAGTTAATAATAGCACAACATTGTATAGTGATAGCGATGAATTCACATACAAGTTTTAGGCTTGCCTACAAATGCATTCTTCTCTTTCAAAGTTATGCGTATGCTGATAAAATAAAATTAAACTGTCAAATGAGACAAATGTTAAAACAATTTATATACCATTATTACTGTTAAATAATATTTTAAACAATAAAACAATAAATTGTTTTATTTAGTAAAATTTTGATTAACACGTATGACCCCAGATTTTTGTGGTCTGAGGTAATCTGCTTCTCTTGTCCTCTCCCTAGCGGCCTTTGTGGCTTTGTTTTTATTATCAAAATTGGAAAATTTTAACTCTCTGGTGTAGGCTTGTTATTGAAGGTTAGAAGTCACTTACTACAGTGCACTTGTCTCAGAGGTTTCCTCAACAACGAACACATGTATATGAAAACACGTGATAACAATGCATATGATAGGCAGGGATCTGTTTTAGGGGTGGGCAAACTTTTTGCTGTGAGGGCCACATTGAAAACTATTTTACCCTTGAAGGACCGCATATGTACTTAAATAGCAAATTTTTTCGACCCGGGGGAGAATTTTTTAAGATTTGTGGCTCCTTTTTTTGGTTATAATGATTAATCTGGCTGACGACATTTTTTGGCGAACAAGTCCTCGCGGGCCGTAGCTTTTCCACTCCTGATCTATTTGGATTTGAACCCAGCCACTGCAACGGGAGGACCAGGCGTCATCAGGTAATCAAATATTATAAATATTTAATATATTCTAATATTCTTTTCATTAAGTAATGTTTTACCAAATATTGTATCAAAGTTATGTAAACAAAAATGAATTATTTCCCAAACAAATTTTATTCAAGACAACATCTCATTAAATTATGGGTCGGTAAACCTTATGCTGCGAGGGCCGCACTGAGAAGTATTTGACCTTTGAAGGGCCACATATGTTTTCAAATTTTTTGGACTTTTTTGCCTCGTAATATGTGGCTGACGACCTTTTTTATGATCGTAATGTGATTTTTTGTGTTCAATCAAGGCCTCGCGGGCAGCATAAAATGGTTTAGCGGGCCGACCGCGGGTCGTAGTTTGCCCACCTCTGCATTTAATCACATTTTAAATTGATAAATAAACTAAAAAAAAATTATCTTCACAACAGAAATTCAATCGAATGAATCCATCCAACGAAATAATTCTTCAATCTCTCGTCAGACATGCCCTTCAATGGTTGTTTTCACGACTTCCTACCCATTCACGCTTGACGTCAGAGCGTTCTACACATTATATTTCCTTCCGTTATGACTAAATGTTTCAGTCAGTCTGTGGTTTATTTCTTTGTCTAAATTTATTTGGCTATGAAAAATGTTTTTGGCAAATGTCATTACTTAATTAACTTTTTAAATCTATAAATTTTAGGATGTCTTGTTTTTCTATTAAAAAAAAGTTGGCAAACTACTTTTAAAATAATTTTTGTGATGAAGCCAGTTTCTTTTACGTAAGACAAAGGAGAGGCTGCAGAAATTTAAAAGAAAGTTTCTAACGATCTAAGAAATTTCATTGTAAAATAAACTTCTGATTGTTAAATATTGTTTAAATGTTAAAAACTAAAAATTAAATAATTATATTCAAGGAAACTAATAATAAAATCAAATTTAACGGTCTACCCCCTATCTACCGGAAAAATTGATTAAGATTATATCAATTACGATGGATGGATTTAACGTCATCTAGCGGTTATATTAGGTCATATAAATTATGAGTTATTATAATCTTATTAAATATATAATATAATATTTATTATACAATAGTAAATTATGTGTAAGTTATTAAAAAACTTTTTATTTTCTGGTGCCTTTTCTTTTAAAGGGTTCGTTGTACCTGAATAGTGGATGTACATTGATTTTATTATTGCAGATCTTTATTTCGTAATCTTTAATTTTGTTTTTTCAAACAATATAAATCGCAAGGCAAAGAAAAAGAAGCAGATGTTGAAATAAATAGAAGATTCTAGAAGATAAATAGAAAACCAACTAGAAAGTAAAATAAATCGACGAACGATCAATATAAGCAAATGATTTGAATTTTCTCAACAGCTGTTGGACGTGTCTCGTAATTGGCTCGTTAAAAATCTACAATCTAAATGAATAACAAACACGTTCCGATAACTTCTTTTTGAAGATTTTAATGGCACTGCAGCTCCCAAGATGGTGCTATAATGTGCCAGTAATTTTAATACTTTTTTTTTTAATTTTTATTTTATTTTTTTTCATAATTATTTAGTTATTATTATTACATCTTCAAAATCAATCACAGTCGAAAGGAAGAATCCGATCAAAATATATCAAGACATCAAACCAGGAAAATAAATGATAATCTTTAACTTAAGTATATTTTAAGAGGTAAGGTTATAATAGTTTATTCCAGTCTTTTTAAGCAATAACTTTAAAAAAATACAAAACTAAAAAATTTACATCTGGCTTAAAAGTCAATCAAGTTCTTACACCCAGACGTGGAAAATTTGAACGTGACAGACTGCTTACATTCGGAAGATTTACCTTCCATAAGGGTGTCTGTTGACTGAAAGATTTATTTTGTAGAATTGTCGGAGAAATGAAATGATAAATTAACAAAAATTCAAAATTCAACTTCTACTTTACTTGTATTTCTATTTATTTTCAAATAAATAATTGATTTAAATGAATTTTTTTGAATTAATTCCCTAATTAAATATTAATTTCTTCAATTTTCATTTAACGGAAAACAGAAAGAGTACTCTGGTGATCACTTTTAAGACGAAGCTAAAAGTATTCAATCTGTAATGAATCAACATAATTGATAGTAATTTGAAAATTTATTATATTAAATTTTATTGACACATAAACGCGTATGAAATAAATTTTTACTACACGTTAACATTAAAAACTTCATCAATTCAACAACAACCCAACAACAATAACATCAACATTATCAACAACAACTGAACATGCGGGCCATAATTTGCTCATCCCTGGGGTAAATTATATGATAAGTGATGATCAGGTTTATTTTTCCTGTTAGGATATGAGTTGTTGTATCTACTGGATGAGCTAAAATTTTATTACATTTTTTTATATTTTTGAGCGTTTTATATCTTCTGTTGATCAAATCTAAAGTTGCGTAGAGTTAGATTGTCTTTAACAGACCATTTCAAAATCATTTTTTACAGATAAGACATATTATCATAGTAATTTCTTCTCGTTTAAACGTATATTGGCGATATTTTTCCAGAAAAACTTTTCAAGAATTAACTTTTCTCCTCTGATTTCTTTTCTAAAAAGACGACTAAACCAAAAAAATTGTGGTAGTAGTGAAGAGTATTCATTTTCAGGCTTAATACAACTGCAGTCACTTTATTAATGACAACAGGGCGTAAGGTAGAAGACGAAATTGAAATTTACTAGCTATGTGTTTGTGTGTGTGTGTATATATGTGTGTGGTGTGTGTAATTATATATGTATATATATATATGTATATATATATATATTTGTGCGTGTGTGTGGTGTGTGTGTGTAATTATATATAAATATGTGTGTGTGCGTATATGTGTGTGTGTGCGTATATGTGTGTGTGTGGTGTGTGTAATTATATAAGTATATATATATATATTTGTGCGTGTGTGTAGTGTGTGTGTGTAATTATATATAAATGTGTGTGTGTGTGTGTAATTATATATAAACGTGTGTGTGTGTTTGTGCGTGTGGATGATTATTTTTTTTGGGCTAGATCATACTTTCTTTCGGTTTGTGTGTGTGTGTGTGTGTGTGTATGTGTCAAATTGTAGTCCATTTATGTGCCTTCATTTATGAGTGCATGCATGTTCTAATATATGTGTGTCGGTAGCTGAAGAATTTAATTGAAATCGCTAAATGTGATTGATGGGCTTCGTACTTATTTACTGCTCAACCATCAACAACATCAACAACATCAACAACAACAACAACATCAACAACAACATCAACAACAACATCAACAACAACAACATCAACAACAACGTCAACAACAACAACATCAACAACAACAACAACATCAACAACAACAACAACACCTCCAACAACAACATCATCATCAACAACAACAACAACAACATCATCAACAACAACATCATCAACAACAACATCAACAACATCATCAACAACAACATCATCAACAACAACATAAACCACAACAAACCCATAATTATATAACGACACGTTGTGAAGTGAAGAAAATTAATTAATAAATTTGAGTGCAACTCCTGTCGAATGTTATAATATTAATAATAAGACAGAGTTAGTCATGTGTTAAATTTACTATTGTTATTCACATTATTAATGATGCTAGTATCGGTTCTGTTGTTGAAATCTGTCTTCTAAATGTTCCCATGCTTTTATGAAAGTTCTATTGGCCTAAATTACTTTTAAAAATCGTTTGTTATTTCATATTTGTTGGTATAATCCTGGATTATCTTTTATTATTGCTATCACACAAACACACACATACACACGCAAACACACACACGCAAACACACACGCACTACTAGGATTTTATTTCATCATAGTCTTCTGGTTAAGATGTTCGTTCATTCATTTTGCACTTACTAACATTTGATCGAGTATCTACACCAAATTTTGCTCGTTAAAAAATTTGCTAAAATAATTCGTTGAATTTTTGCTTTTCGTCCATTTCTGAATAGGAAGCTCTGGCGAAGATCACGCGTGCAACCGCGCTCATCCCATTTGGTACGTCCAAACAATTTTTACAGAAATAAACTGGATAAGCGTTTGGAAGGTGTGACTGATATTGATGAAAATAAAATGTTTTTTTCATGAACGTATTTTTTCGCAGCGTTATATTTGAGGATCCAGATGGTTTTGTCCTCCGAAGACTACTGCGTCGAAGGCTTCTGCTTCAGTTACGACGCTAAGACTAGTGATTTCAAATCTGGCCAAGAACACTGCGCCTCAAAGAACAAAACCCTTCTGGAGTTGAGGACTTTTAAAACTTATGCGGCTTTCTGTAACATGACCACCAATTTCAATCCGTTTATTTGGTATTGGCTGAATATAAACCTAGTTGACGGTATGTTATACTGGGGCTCGGATAACAGTACGGTGACAACATACTCCTTATCAAAAAGCGACAGTGTAACACTTATTGCTTTTTGCAATGGCATGAAGTTAATTCCAAAGCACATTGCTTAGGAGTTATCTGTTATAACGAAAGTTGGTGAAGTTTTGGAATATTTTTAAAAAAATCGCGATTGTTTTTACAATTTAATTAAAACGTTTGTCTGTTAAAATTAAAAAATTTTTAATAAATTGCAAAGTTTTAAAAAAGATTAATCTTCGTTTACCTACAGCTTCATCATACCTTTCAAAAGTTTCATCTCAGTTTTCTGAGTATTGCCTTGGCAGTCACTGTTTCAGTTACGACGGAAGAAGGCTTGACCAGCAGTCAGGTCGAGATTATTGTAAATCAATAGGCAAAACTCTCCTCAAGATAAGGGGACAAGAAATTGAGAATGACTTGTGTAACATAATAATGAACTTAGTCACAGATTACTCTTATGAAGTACTCTGGGTGAATGTTTACAGAGATAATGATAGGTTATATTGGAGTTCGGACGGTAGCGAAGTTGCTCTCAACATTTTTGGATTTAGCGGAACTTTGGCAAATGATACCCAAATGGTAGCGTTTTACTGCAATCCCGTAGACAAGATGTGTCGCTGGATTGAAATAATGAACAAGATGGAATGTTTTTTCGTCATCTGCTACAACAGAAGTTAGTAGAACATTTACGTCAAACAAGCATTACTGCAGCATTCTACTATGTGCTGACATGAAATACCATTTTGTCCATACCTAATGTTATCTTTATATTGAATGCTAAATTGCTCATGAACCTCATCGTTTAGTTGAGAGCATTTCAGTTTATAAAAACAATTTGTTGTTATTTTTTCATAAGCCATCGCCTTACATTAAAATAATTTGGTTTTTTATTTTTTTTTATTTGGTTTTTTCTCTATCGAAAAAGTGAGAGAAAGAGGAAAGAGAGATAGAGAGAAAAAAAGAAATATAGAGAGAGCTTTTGTGAGATCCTATAATGAATTAAAATTGAAATATTTTTCTTCGTCCTATTTTGAGAGTCTTTAACAACCACGCTAACACGCGAAACCATTGAATATGCTAAACGTGAATCTCTTTTTGCAATCGAAGTCAGTCACACTTCGAAGCATAACCAGGCGCCTTTGACGGTTACGCCATGAACTGAACTAAAATATCGCGAGTGGAAAAAAACCGACTTTAAATATACTTTTATAAATATATCAACATGCTATGTCTCCCTGTATCAAACAAGCATTACTGCAGTATTCTACTATATGGTGACATGATTGTAAAGGCTCAAATAATAATTGCACACTAAAAAATAACATATACTTGCAATAATTTCACAATACAGCTGGCTCAACTGAGATGTCGACAACAACAACTACAACGACAACAACAACAGCATTTACGTCAACAACAACAACAAGGACAACATCAACTACTTCGCCAACATCAACAGCTTTTACTTCAACAACAACAACGACAACTCAACTACTTCGACCATATCAACAACCACGTCGGCAACATTTGCTTCAACAACTACTACAATAGCAACATCAACTGCATCTATAACATCAACAGCAATAAGCTCCTCAACCATGTTCACTTCATTGACAACATCAACGATTATGACATCATCAATAATGTCATCATCACTGACAACATTATCAACTACAACACCATCTTCTACAACAACAACATCAACAACAACAACATCATCAGCAGCAACAACATCAGCATCTTCTTCGTCATCATCGTCTGAGATATTGCTTGTTGCAATGGTGCTACTTGTTTTTCTTTTCCTTGCTGGCATTGCCTTGTTCATTTTGTATTGTTATATTTACAAAACTATGAAAAAAAAGTCAAACGAATTAGATTCAAACGATGACAACTTCAACTCCCTGCCTTCAAATGCAAACAGTTTTTTTTTATTGGTCTTTATTATTGCAGCTCTGACATACGCAGAACCACTTACAATGTTACAGATATATATTATCTATATATCTTTTATTATGTTCTTTAAATCCTAATCTATTGAATTGAAACAGCCATCTTCGCCACAAAGGCTATTTATCCTTTTCACACGACGTACACATGTAAACGTTCCACGCCTTATAAACAGTAGATGGATATGACACAAACTATATATTAGCTTACTTGCTATTTTTTGGTAAAATTTTTTATAAATGAGGGTTATTTTTGTAAAAATAGAAACATTCTGCTTTCAGTTACTTTTTGCTATAGTTTGAAATAAAATTTTTTTTTTAATTTGAGTCGGGATTTATAATAAGGTGGTCAAAATTCAGCTCCAGTTCGCTGTTTGATTTACAGACAAAAATATTTAATAAAAAATAATGTAGATCGTCTACTGCACGCACATGCTATTTAGTGTAGTTTTGGTTGTATCATTTAATTTCTTCCGCTTAGAATGTTGAAATTGGGAGTTAAATCAGCGGGTGCAACTAGGAGAACTTGATAATGGTGGACAACCGACTTACGCTACGACATGGGAAGTAGATTATTGGAATATTAGAACGAAATCTTGATCATTGTTCGTTAGAAGTGACTGCTCGCCGAAATGCAGCTACGATGGAACATATAATAACTAACCATGCCCTCCAGCAACCAACATTGCTACTGTTGGTTTGGCAGACTACTACAACAATGACAAGATAAACAATGGGGTTTATCAACATGCGGTTGTAGTACAACGCTCAAAGCTTTGTACATCCTCTATCTGCTGATGTCAATACTTAGGCAATTAAGGGCTTATTGATGCGTGCAAAAAGAAAATAAAGTTATCAATGTAGAACGAGTCGTTCATTGTTTTAAAGTCATCTATACAAATTTCAGTGGATATACAACTATAAAACTCATGCTTTTGGACAATATTTAAAGTTATTTAATGATGACTACCATACGTAGCATACCCTCATAGAAATGGCGTGTTTATTGAATATTTGAAACGACATGTTTATGTCAATATTATTGCAAGATGCCGTATCTTGTTTAATGCGTTTCTTTTATTTTTTGTTAAAAAATGATGTTATTAAAATGTTTCTCCTTAATTGCTTACTTTTTAGTTGTAAAAAAATTAATCTTATAATTTGGGACCGCTGTTCTGCCATACTTCATTCCCGGGTTTTTATTCTTATAGCAAATTAAAAATAATGATTTCGTTAGTGTTCGTTTGTTTCGACTTTTTTTTATGTTGAATCACCGACTAACATTGGATTAAATAATCTGGCTACCAGCCCAAAGAGGTAGCAGGTAGAAGATTCTCCGAGAGACCTTTTCGCATTTCACAACGCTGGCCTTCGATTTACGAGGAATCATCATGATTGAATTTGATGTTATCTGTTCTGAAGTTGTCGTTGGCAATTGAAATTAAAATTTTAAGTGTTTGTTCAAATTTTCTGTAGTGGATGATCCAGCGGCTGGTATAGACAGCGCTGAAGGGAGCGGCCAAATTTTTAGAGTTTTGAAATTTGGCGAGAAGCCAAGGGATTAACCAAATGTTTGCTAGTTTGGCCAGAATTAGACTGGAGACTTTTTTCTGTTTATCACACAGTCTCTAACAACATTAAAACATTTGAGATTTGTGTGTGCTTTGATTCTAAGTGGGGTTTTTTCATGATGACTATTGCACAGATAAATAGAGAATAATATGGAAACATGGAAAGTGGATTGAAATGTTGGCACATGTGAGTTTGTGTAAGGATTATTGTCTTCAAGTCTCGATGAATGAGTGGTAGCTTATTAAACTTATCTAGATGTAAAGAGTCTGTTAACAACTTGTTATAGAATGATTTCGTTTGTTTGCTTATTCGTTTGTTCACTTGTTTGTCTGTTGAATTTTGGATATTTCCTTAAGTACAATTTTAATTTTACCAGCTTCAATTTAATCTGAATACATTTTTAGAAAAAACAATTGCCTTGTAAACTATTAAACCAGTTGAACTACAACCCGTGATATAAAATAATTTATACGCTAATTCTTTTCAGTTTCAAAATGAGGCATCTACTAACTAATTTATTATAAATTTACATACATAATAGAGATACACACACTTCAATTAGATTAACTTGAAGGAATGAAACTACCATTAAATGTACCATGTGCCACCAAACCAAATAAGCAATCTACAGCCATTAGGCGCTTTCAACCAACAACTTGCTATCACTAAATGTCGAGTGCATAGAAAGCACCTTATTTTATTTTACCAATGCATTAAAAATTGTAAAAATAACAAATTGCATCTAAAACATCTAAAATCAGTTATTTTTTAAAACATTAAAATATACGTTAAACAATATAAATACCATTTAACACTAGGACAGCCGAAAAAATTGTATACTATAACAGCCAAATGCAATAGATGAACCATTGGATATATATATATATATATATATATATATATATATATATATATATATATGAGATGAACTGGGCTTTAGTTTGCATAAGTTTTTATTTTATTTATGCTTCTCTAGGAATCCACTCACATCAATTTGATCGTTAATTTAACTAAAGTTAATTAATTAATTTAATTGTTACGATCAATTTAGTGGCTATAATTGGTCTAAAATTTATGGTTGTCAGATTTTTAGTTCTGCAATGAAAAGACAAGATTTGAAAAAAATCAAAAAATTCGTAACGCTTGATAAAAAATCTAAATGAAGGCAGTTAATTGCCCATGGCAAATAAATTCATTATGTTAATTTGGTGATCAGTTGACCTCTCAAACGAAATGCTTCCCCCCCAATACGCACCTACGTCGAAAAGGGCAGATGAGTTTGGAATACAATTTTTGGTTTAGGCGGCTGTACAAAAAACTATGTTTGAAATTGAAACCATATTTGGGAAAAGATTTAAATAGATTTGGCTCATTGAAAGCACATGCTGTGACAACTCAAGTTAAACCATACATCAATAGAGGTTATAATATAGCAAATAGATAATTTTTCTCCATCACTGGATCTGATAAAAATTTTTCGGCTGAAAGAGATTTGAAATGCGAAATAAAAAAATTCCTATTGCCAGTTCTACTGAGATGAAGCACATAAAATTTTTTGAATGGGAATCAGATGAAATTTATTTTGTGAAATTTCAATCAAAAAAATGTTGCTTTCCTGTCATCAGTTCACAAAGGAAGTACAAGCGTGTATGTTACAAATGTGTTACAGGTGAAAATAATAAAAGAATGTCTGAAAGTCTGGGTAAGGCTTGTTCTTACAAAACCTATAACATCCTGCGGGACGACGACCCATCTTTGTCTTAACTTTATCATTTCTCAATTTAGTTTTTTTTCAATTAACTTACTAAGTCATTAACTAGCTCAGGTATTTACAAAACTATAAAAAAAAGTCAAACGAATTAGATTCGACTGACGACAATTTCAACTCCCTGTCCTCCAATGCATACAATTTCAACTTTTTATAAGCAGTAGATGGATAGGACACAAACTATATATTAGTGTGCCGTATTGAGTGATAAAGCATAACTGCGAACGAATTAACACAAGTTGTGTATGCATGTGCTCAGGTGAAACTGTAGTACAACTGTGTATGCATGTACTCGTTGAGAATGGTATGAGAGTATGTGGGGATTGGAACGCCTGGCTACATTAGAATATCAAAGGACTGTGAGATGTAACGTTTGTTAAAATATTTTTTTATATTAATAAAACGTAAATTAAAGAAGTTTAATTTCGTAATTGAAATAAAGAATATTAGAAATTTGTTGTTGATTACAATTCTAAAAATAATTTCAGAAATAAAGAATTTTAAAATAAATTTAAGTTGAACCACAACAACTAGCTGATTTGTTATTTTTTGGTATAATTTTTATAAATGAGGGTTATTTTTGTAGAAATAGAAACATTCTGCTTTCAGTTACTTTTTGCTATAGTTTGAAAACAAAACTGTTTTTAAATTAAGTCGGGATTTATAATGAGATGGTCAAAATTCAGCTCCAGTTCGTTGTTTGATTTACAGACAAAAAAATATTTAATAAAAAATAATGTAGATCGTCTACTGCACGCACATGCTATTTAGTGTAGGTGTGGATGTATCATTTAATTTTTCTGCTTAGAATGTTGAAATTGAGTGTTAAACCAACAATCGCAACTAGGAGGATTTAATAATGGACCCCGACTAACAGAACATTGCAGAAAGTAGCACAGAGGAACGTTACAGTGTGGGAAGTAAGTTATTGATTTTTAGTTCTGCAATGAAAAGACAAAATTTGAAAAAAAAAATCAAAAATCATGTTTGATAAAAAATCTAAATGAAAACAGTAAATTGCTTATGACAAATAAACTCATTATGTTAAGTTGGTGATCAGTTGACCTCTCAAACGAAATGCCCTCCAATTACGCAATATATGCCAAATAAGGCCGATGAGTTTGGAATACAATTTTTGGTTTAGGCGGTTGTAAAAAAAATTTGTTTGAAAGTGAAACCATATTTGGGAAAAGATTTAAATAAGCTTGGCTCATTGGAAGCACATGTTGCGACAAATCAAATTAAACCACACATCAATAAAGGTTATAATATAATATAATAATGGAGAATTTTTCTACATCACTAGATCTGATAAACATTTATTTTGCTAAAAAATGCGAAATTTAAAACATTCCTATTGACAATCTCACGGAGATAAGTATAAATAACTTTTTGAATGTGAAATCAGATAAAATTTATATTGTAAAATTTCAGTCTAAAAAATGTTGCTCTCGTGTCATCAATACACAAAGAAAGTGCGTGCGTGTATGTTACAAATGTATTACAGGTGAAAATAATAAAAGAATGTCTGAAAGTCTGGGTAAGGCTTGTTCTTAGTAAGTTATTTTTTCTTTTTGATCATCTAACTAACTTATTAAGTCATCAACTAGCTCCGGGGTAGGCAAACTACGGCCTGCGTAGCCTTGTTCGCTAAAAAATGGTTGTCAGCCAGACATTATGATCACATCCTACAAATCCTAAAATAAATTCTTCCCCGGGTCAAAAAAATTTGCTATTCAAGTAATTATGTGACCCTTCAAAGGTAAAATAGATATAAGATTTTTCTAAATTTAAACACTAGATATTGTTGTAAATCTTGTTAACTGATGCACATCCTTCTTTATTGATCATCTAATTTGATACAAATGTCTCTTGACATCAATAACACGCGAGTAGTAATAATAGCAATATAAAAAAATTTTAATTAATCAGTCGTAATGATCAGTTAATCTATAAATAAAAAAAATTAACTTCAAACTAGCTTCAAATTATATATATTTTTTATATAAAAACACATATTTTTATACATACTTACATATATATAAATACGAATAATAATTATACAGCTACATGATTAGAAAACATTAAATGAAATCATTGAAAGCAAGACCAATAGTATGCTAATGTAAGTTGGTGTGATGTTTAAGTTATTCATTTATGCGTGTATGAGTTCGGAATGTCGAAACAAGTTACGGTAGAGTTTCATAGCATTTTCTATCCCTTGCATCGCTGTAAGCTAATAACTCTACGCTCTCTTTTTCCGTATCACCGATGAGAGAATATTTGACAGCCAGTTCCTTAGCTGAGGTATCGGTCGGTTCGTCGGTTCTGTTCGAAATTGATTCTTCGACACTTTCCAGACTCTTCGATTTTGTTTCAGGAAGGATGAAATAGGAGTAGAGGGCTCCTGCTAGGCAATCGACTGCAAATAAATAGAATGCGCCTGACTCGCCAAGAGCAGTGACAAGAGGATGGAAAAATAATATCGTTAGTGAACCGGCTAGTAATCCGATGAATGTCGAAGCACTCGATGCTACGGCTCTTATCGTCTGAGGGTACATCTCCGATAATATGATCGATGGAACGGTGCCCCATCCAAAACTGTAGCAGGCCAGGTAGCAACAAATTCCAGCAAAGAGCAGACTGGTCGGGACGGGATTCAAGACGATGCTTGGTGGCGTCTCTGGTGATGCTACTGCTAAGGAGGACACGTTCAATAAAGATGACGAGTTCAAAAAGTTTGTCACGTTCAAACTAGTTTCTGCCAACAATGCACTGCTGTTCATTTTTGCGATATGAAAGGCCCATCCCATGGCAATCAAACTGACGGCCTGACCAGTCCCTCCAACAATCAACAACAGCCTTCGTCCCAATCTGTCAACAGTCAAACTGGCAATGACAGTTGTTACGATTCTCAAACAGCCGACATAAACTGAAGCATACTCTGCCGATCTGTCGTCCATGTTCGAAAATTTGAAGATGGACTTCATGAAAGCACTGACTGCTGTCTGACCGCACAAACCCTGCAGGAGCATCATAGGCAGGCAGATGATCAGTTGACGCTGAACACGTTTCAACTTTTTAAAGAGGATGCTCGCATGTACGTAGACGTTGCATTGTTTCGTTGATGTCACCCGTTCCAATGGCTCTGTCGGAGTTGACTCTATTTCTCCCTTCAATTCTTTTTTCTCTTTTTGTTTTGCTTCTTGTTCTTTCTGCTGCTCGTGAAGAATTTCCAAACATTCCGATCTCATTTTTTTGTTGAAGTTTTGAACCTCATCGTGCTGGAATTAAAATTTAAAAATTTCATTCATTTTCTTTAAAAATTATTTTTAGCAAACATAAAGTGTAATTTTGTACAGCAATTAATTCATATATAAAACAACAAATTAAAACAAACCCTCGCAACAATTTCGTCCATTTCATTGTTGACGTCACTTTCTGATTGTCCTTCTCTTAATAAGTTCAAAACTCTGAAAGCTTCTTTCAGATAGCCCTTTCCAACCAGCCAACGTGGTGTTTCATTCTGAGAAAACATTCCGAGCATGAGAGCCAGAGTCAATGCGGCCCCTACCAAAGCCAAATATCTGTTGTTCAAGTAGATTCCGAGAAAGTATGCGGCCGTGGTGCCCATAGATATGCACAGCTCGCAGACGCCACACATCATACCACGGCGTCTACTGTCCACTGTTTCTGCAATGTAGGTTCCGTAGGCTGAATACACCATCGCACTGCCGACGCCAGTGAAGAACCTACTCGTTATAACGGCTAGCCAGTAATCGCCGAATATTACGATTAGCAGCCAGCCAAGTGCTTGAGGGATTGCACATCCAAACAAAACATCCTTCCTTCCCCACTTGTCCATCGCTGGTCCTGCAATTAAACATCCAACCATCCCACCAAAGAAAACCAAATTGCCATACAACGATACGTCGCCCGTTGCCACATTCAAAATACCGTTGTTAACAAATTTCGTAACGCTCGGAGATGTATAACCGGTAGAAAAACCACGATTTATCGGCGCAAACAACGCTCCTATTACCAGAAACATTTCTGCCCACGTTGGCTTATATGCTTCAAGTGAACACTGCTTTTTCCACTCTTTATTCTCCTCACTCTCAAACTTTCTTTCTATTTCAATCTTTTTCTTTTTTCCCACCACCTCCATCGTTATCTTTTCAGAAACCTGAATCAGATTCATCGTTGAATTTTTCGCCTTCAGATCTGCGATTGTATTATCCAAATCTGGCTTCATAATTGTAGTCGGTGAGGAAAGGCTGAGTGATGTTGAACTTTCTCTGAAGTTGGTTGAGGCCAATATTGGATGGGCTGCCGAATATTTCACGCTGTGTTTCTGCATTAAATTAAAATAAGTTTCATATATAGCTGCTTCATTATATCATTCAATAAGAGTTATTATGACAGAAAATTTTAAAAGGATGATTTATATTGCAACGGCATTTCAATATATTAAAAAAATCTTAAAAATATAAAAAAAAGTTATTTACCGGCAGGAGTTTGGTCTTTTCACTCAAGATGTTCTCCATTCTGCAATTTTTTTGAATCATCATTCTTTCTTCTTTATTGGACGTGTTTGATAAAACTCGAGCTGATTGTCAAATTTAAATATAACAAATAAAACCGACGAATTCAGTAAATAATTCAGCTTAAAAATAGATTAAATTGTTGATTAATTTTTTAATGATAGATAGCTAGATAGATAGATGCTTGATAACCACGTTTTGAGACATCCACTACTCCGGATCTTATATATAGGAACCGAGAAATCAATCAGGTCAAAGTTTGTCACGTGGGTTGTTCATTAAAATAAATCTACTTCTATGTTAGATAGATCTTTACAACCATCTTAATTAACATCATTAATGTCCATTATGTAGTTTCCACGACCGCTCTTAATTTTGAAAACCGTGCAATACAAAGATGATAATAAAAATGAAGCGGTAGTATATTAATTAGTAATATTTTTATTCCTATTGTTTTATTATTATCCTTAACTATTCTTTATTTAGTAAGACTTAAATTTGATACTTACGATGAAGTGTTCGTGAATGTTCGAGTTAATTTTTGCACAACTCTAAATGAAATCTCAAACAGGCATATTACTTTACATTTTGCATTAAAACACTAAAACCAAAAATATAAAATGTTGGATAGACCATGAAACCCTCCAATTAGCAAAAAAAGAAAATCAAATTATTCATCAAGAGTCAAAAATACCCAACAACTTACAACATTTCCACATACGAAAAATTCCGCTATTATTTTACCTTTTTAAACTAATTTACTATTTTATTCTAAACAAAATCAGAACGACAATATTATATTAACCGACTAAACAACTCAAATTACAACGCTAAACAAAAATGGAATATAATCAGAGAGGTACTGAATAGAAATTGTTCTCACCCATCGCCATCCAAACTCATGTTTTATAGCCATACAGTTGAATGCAAAAACGAAATCTGTGAACATCTCAATAAACATTTTGTAAACGTTACTTATGAAATTTCAAATACCTTACCGTTATCCTCTGATGATCCATCCAAGTTTCTAGGACCTTCAAATTTACAATCAAATTTTCTTGAGTCAGTTACAGAAGGAGAAGTAATTGCTGTTACTGTTGGATTGAAAAATAAAAAAAAGTTGCTCTAATGATGGCCTAAATGTGATTTTAATAAAATCAATAATCCATAACATATAATTACCTTTTTGCTATATTTTTAATTTACTAAAGGGTATGAGTGAAAAAAAACAAATCTTGGGCTTATTTCTCGATCTAACCAAAACGTTTGATCTAGTTAATCATAAAATAATGCTAAGAAAATTATATCACCATGGGGTACGAGGCGTGTGTAGTTCTTGGTTAAGCAGTTATCTATCGTCACGAAACCAATGCGTTATATTATTAATATATATTAATATTTAACAACGTAATAGTTTTTCATTTTAAAATTATACACAAACTACCTACCAGACTGAAAAACGTTCCGCCCGAAGAGGTAGCAGGTGGAAGATTTTCCGTGAAGATCTCATCAAACATTTTCGAATTTCACCTAGCTTATTAGCAATTTAAGAGGAATCATCCTACATGAATACGATGTTATCTGCTCTGCAGCTTTCGTTGGCAACTGAATTTAAAATTTTAAGTGTTTGTTCAAACTTTCTGTGGTGTTGGATCCAGTGGCTGGTATAGACAGCGCTGAAGGGAGCGGCCAAATTTTTAAAGTTTTGAAATTTGGCGAGAAGCCATGGGATTAACCAAATGTTTGCTAATATGGCCCAAATTAGACTGAAAACCTTTTTCTGTTTATCAAACATTTTCTAATAACACAAAACATTGGAGGTTCACGAATGTTTTGATTTGAAGTGGTTTTTAACATGAGGACTTCAAATCTCAAAATCTCAATAAATGACTTAGCTTATCAAATTTATCTGGATGAGAAGAGTCTGATGGGAGATGGTGTACTTTATGTACTTGTACTGGCCGACTTATCTGATGACAGATCAACTATTTATGTACACACACACACACACATGCACGCACGCACACACACACACACACACACATATATTCACTTGAGCTAGCAAACTGCTCGATTTTATCATTGATATCTTCTGCAAAAACAAACAAACCCTCATTAAACATGCAAACTGGAATAACATGTTTTTGTTTGCACGCTGGGTAAATAATAATTTTTCCAAATTTTAATTTAAAAAGTCAAACTAAATCCTTGACCATATGCTTTCATTTTTTTTATTTTACTGTTTGTCATGTTTTTGTTAAAATTTTTTTTTATTTTTCTATGATTCACGTATATTCATACGTTCTATTTGTACGTTGTTGATGTTTCTGATGAATAATTAATTAACAGATTAATTAATTAAGAGTTATTAATATTAATGAGAAAAATATGAACAACAAAAACTTTGAGAGAAGTCTTGCAAGAATTATGATTTCAACAACTACGTAATTCAGTAAGAAAAAATGGACTAACCGACCAAACGAATACAATGAACTTGCCAAAAAATACTTAATTCAACCCAAGTAAATCAAAAATTATTATTGATTTTTAAATCGAAATCTTTATGACTAGAATTATTTAAAGTGTACATAGGTTTCTCAAAAATGTTTGTATATATAAGTTAGTATATATAAGTATATATAAGTTAGTATTTTCGTATATAAACTTTTGGTTTAATTGTTTTGTTGTAGTGGATGAAAATCGTTTTTTTTAGTTTTGGCTGAATTTTAATCCATAGCGAAATGCGGTGCTGGGTTTTTGTGGTAGTGATTCAGTTTTATGTCACCAAACAAGAAAGCTGTTTGTGATTCATAATTTTTTTAATTTAACTATTTCAAAAAAAGTTAATTTGAAATTTTGCTGAATTGATTCATTAAATAAATTCCTAAGAACAATTTTTTTAGTAATTTTTTTTTCATTTATCAGTTCCATGTCCAAGATTTTATCGCGAGAAAATTCACTTTACTGATACGGCCAAAGAGGAAGTTGTGGACATTAAGCTGAAGAAATCCGACAAATTCTTTGTACATATTTTACTATTTCAGATAAATTTTCATAAAAATTTTTTCGATTCATTTAAAATTTTCAGTGCTACTATGTGAATACCAACACCACTCAGACATTCCGAGCTAAGCCTTATCTCGGACGGGACGGAGAATACATTTGGGTAATTACTCTTTTTGGCATATAAAAATCAAACATCAAATTGAAAACATCTTCAAATCGAAGTTCATACGTGTGCCTCTTTTTCAATATGAACCAATTTTTTAATTTTAGGTTGGCTGGCTTTATATGGAAAGTGGGATTTATTATCTCCAGTCTTCAGTTAGCTGTAGGGAGAATGGATACAACTTAATGTATACCATAATAAAAAATAAACCTTATGAAGTCTGCTACTTGTCCGCCTGAACCTCAAGGGCCAAAATTTTTTGAAACACTTTATTTGAATTCATGTGATTGTAAAGTAAATAATGAAAAGTTAATAATTTCAATATGAATGGTATCATGGTGAAAACTATGAATGTGCCAATACATATACATGCTGCCAACCAGTTGATACCTTAGAAGAAGAAATTTTAATAATTGATTTACAAAAATAAAACTTTATTGAAAATATGAATAAAAATAAAATTGAGGAAATCTATGAATTTGGTGAAATATTTTATGAATTGTTGTAGAGATTTAAAAAAATTAATCTACGTAATTTTTTTGACTGAAACTTCTCAAAGACACAGAAGATAACGTCGAAAGTTTAAGAGTCGTTTGACTTGACATACATCATGCTGGGTTGAACGAGTATTCAATGTTACTTTCATAGATTACATCGATCAAAATAATAAACTGATTGTAATAATCATGGTGATGATGGTGATATTGGAAAGAAGAAGATGATGATGATGAAAATGATGATGGTGGTGGTTATGATGGTGATGATGATGGCAATGATGGTGATAGAGATCCAAAATCATATGTTATATTAGTTTTCTTGTTTTAATTTCAATTGTTCGTACACTTATTCACTTCAATCGATCGAACATTCGTTCGTTCATTCGTTCGAAAAGTGTTCCTGACCTTTAACCTTTGGCCTTCAACACTTTAAAAACGGATGGGTGGCAAAAACTCACAGTAACACTGCTCTGAAAGATCGGATCATGTGACTGTCTGTTGGTAAACTGTTTCCGGTATTTCCTGGTGCTTCATTAATGATAATGTGTCTGTGTGTGAAATAGTGTCTGTGTGTGAATTGGTGTGCGTGTGTAAAAGTGTGTGTATGTGTAATGCTGTATGTGTATGTGTGTTTGGTATATGTGTGTGTGTGTGAGATGTTGTGTGTGTGTATATACAATATATTAATAAATATGTAATATATATAAATAAGCAAACAAATGTGTATTTATAAAATTAAAATGGATCACCAATCACTTGAAGGGATGTAAAGACTAAATAGTGAACGGGTGAGTGTTGGTGTGCGTGTGTGTGTTAATATGCGTGTGTAAAAGTGTGTGTG